TACTAATTCTATTTCATACCATGGATGATAATGACCCTCTCCACTAATCAAGCTATCTTTTCTTGTCTGTTAACTATCCCTGGGAATTTCTCTGTTCCCTTATTTCACAGCCCTCCAGACTGTTTTAAGTGCTTTCTGTGCCTGCTTTTTTCTCAGACGTGAAGAAGACTGCACTGCATTCAAAAGCTTGTCTAAATCTGTCCCAGCCATGAAGCTTGTCCAATAGAAGATATTACCCACAAAAATCCATGACACTTGCATATATCCTTGACCATTACAACTACATTACTCCGACACTTTTAATTATTTATAATTTTGTTAACTCCATAGCTAGAAGGAAGTGAGTTGGCTTCTTCTCCTTTTTGCAACATAAATAGAATTGCTCGCTACATACCAATTAGGAGACCACTCAAAATGGGAGGCAATGTAGCCATAAAGGTACTGGGACAAGTAAGCTATAAACAAAGAACAGAAGTAGACTATTGTTGATACATGGAAGATGACTTCCATTTGTAAGTGATGTATAATTTTCAAAAAGAGAGTCTTTGTGAAGTTTTTTCAGTTTTTCAAGGAGATTTCTGCATGTAATAAGAATTCTGTATATAGTATGTGGGTACCCCCATATTAGAATGACTACAGAGTAACCTGAAATGTTCCTATTTTCACTTTTAAGTAGGTTTCTGTAGTGGGTTTTTTGGGGGGGATAACTAATGCCAGTGGCCTAATTACAAGATTTCTTTGTAATTTCTAAGCAGTAGCTGGCTTTTGCTACAAGAAACAGCATGGACCAACCTCATGTACATAACAAGGAGATGATACAGCCTCATTTAAAAGTTATTAGCACTTTCTAAGTAAACATTTGAAAGGAGCAGAAAATTTGTGCCTAAGATCCCAGCCTTGATGCTTAGTGAGGTGTAAATTCTCAAAGGAGGCCAGAAGAATAAACTTAATCAAATTTCAAAAGCAAGCATATGACCTTGCTTCTGTAGCTAAACAGTAATTATGTTTAAAACTTCAAAGAGTTCTCAGTAAGTCTGCTATGAAAACATTGGCAACATGAGATGGGAAACCTTGTGGCTCTATAACATAAACCTCTCTAGAAAAGGTGTCAATTTAGAGGGTCTTTGGACAGTGATAGGTTTCTGAATGTTCCCCCTGGACAAGAGAGACAAGGTAATCTCTTAGAACATAAAAGCTGAGTATCCACTTCACTGCTAACTTGTTTAAAATGTTGCCTTGGGCAGCTTATGATTTAATTAAGGATGAAACTCTTCTTCTGTCACAGTGATGGACCTGCTGGTCTGCCATTCTAGACTGATGCAGCATATCAGGCACCAAGTGGCTTTAGGGGAGAATATTATTTTGCAAACAGACCATACTAACTTGTAGAATTTGATAAAAATCCCATGTCCCTGATTTTTTGATACTGCGGTTTCTAAATGCCTTTTCCTTGGCCCCAGCTTTATAGCTTTTTATATTTCACAAAACATTGGAAACAAGATGGCTAGAATGCCAGTGATGGAAACCCCTTAAATGAATATAATTAGTGTCAAGATTTATGTTGCTGCTATGCCGGAAGAAAGAAAAGCTTCTTTGCCTCTTTCCCTGTAGCAACTACAAATGCACAAACTGCTGAGTGATGGTTAACCAAATTAAACTGTTCATCCTTACTCTTTGAACTTTTTTCCTAGCACCTAGTTTTGTTATTTTTTAGTCACTTTAATAGGTTTATTTATTTCCCCTGACTTTTGATAATGGAGTGAGATTTAAAGCAGATGTTGGCTTATTGGGACTATTATAATTATTACTGCTTTTCTCTTGTATAACTGTTGCTTTGGGGAGTACATTTTTAGATTATTTATGGATTTTTATATTAATCTAAATATAGTATACAAAGGGGAACGGCAGTCCAATATTTGGGACCTAGCTTCAAAGTTGGAAGATGTGGGTTCAACTCCCTGTTCTGCTACAGATTTCCTACATGACATGAGGTCAAGTCATTCTCTGTGCATATGTGGCACCTATTATTGTGGGCAAGGGATCTTGGGCAAGTGAGCATCATGAGCATAACTTGCTGCACTGAAAAAGATAAAACAAAGTTCTGGTAAAAAGCTCATTAGTTGGTATTTTATTGTTTCACTAGCAACTAACTCTTGAAATCAAATAAATAAATATGTAATCTCCTATTAGTGCCCTTCCCTTTCTTTTCTTTTCCATTCCCCACCCAAAACTGTCTAAAATCTTAAAACCTGTAGCAAAATTGTATACGGTACTTTATATTTTGCTAGGGAATACTCCAGGGCTCCCAGTTTCTTTCCCCATATTTTCTGTTTAGCAATCTCTATATATGTTGTTTTTTAGTCCATTTGCTCTCAAAAGCTATACAGCTTTTTGTAATGCTGCAGTCAATTTTCTATTCAATAGCCTTTTTTCCAATAAATAATTAGCAGTACTGAACAAGAAAGCAGATTACACTTGGGCACAAACTTCTTATTGAGTTTGGGTAATAATAAAGCATGAACTTAAATGAAGAGATAGTACATAACCCTTGATTTGTGCAGCTACATTATTTCTCCTTTAATTCATTTTGAAGCAATTATTACACATACAGACACACACACACAGTTTACCTTTAAATGTATAAAATACTTTTGTACACATTTCATACTGTCACATATGAGGAAGCTAAAGGATTCTTTTTTTAACCAGACTGATAACCAGGGATCTGGGTTTTCCACTGATCATGGAAAAACACAGTAAAATGTGGATTTGTTCTTTTTAAGGAGAAAAACCCAGATTTTCTCTTTTTAAGGAGAAAAATGCAGGAAATGGCAGGTTTCCCCTTGAAAGTTGACAGAGTTCCAGCCTGCAAGGGGCTGGGGGGAGCGGGAGGAGGGCAATCAGGCAGGGGGTGCCACGTGCATGTGCACGTGCACACATGCTTGTGCTAGCCAGGCAGCGTGAATGTAGCTCCCACAACCTCACACAGGTAAACCAGGGGTACGGGGGGGGGAGAGATTGAGGCCCCCATAGTGAGAGAGACAGGGAGCTGGGCAGGGCTGGGGCTCCTGTCCAGCTGGGGTGGTGAGTGGGGCTTGGGGCCTGAGTTTGGGGTAGGAATGAACAGCCACAGGGCCTGGGCGGGGAATGGCATGGAGCCATGGGCACCTTGTTTTGGGGTTGTGGAGGAGCTGGCTCCCTGTCACTGTGTGGGCTCTGGGGAGGACATGGGGGGCACGTACCCACCGGATTTGTGCACAGGGCAGGGGTGGCTGTGAGTTGGTGGCTTTAGGCTCAGGGCTTAGAAGAGCAGAGCAGGGGGGAGGCTCAGTATCGTCACTGGAAGCCCCACACCACCATGGTGAGGCAACCCCTGCCCACCTGACAGCAGTTGGGGCAGCAGTGCAGCGTTCTACCTCCTGCTGCTGCCAGGTGGGCAGAGGGTGGTTCACCATGGCAGTACAGGGCTCCCAGTGGTGGCACCAAGCCTCCCTGCCCTGCTCTGGGCTCTGCTCTGGCCACAGCAGCTGCCACCTCCTGTGGGTGGCAACCAGGGCTCTACTCGGCTGGGGTAGGGGGCTGCAGACCCAGGTCCTTAGCCCCATGGCCCTGGTACCTGGGTGCAGGGCTGGAGTGGGGTGGGGGGCTGTAGGTGGGGAGTGAGGGGCACCGGCAGGGCCAGGGAGCTGTGGCTTGGGAGTGAGAGGCAATGGCATGGGCAGGGCACTGGCATATCAGGGCTGCTCAGCACCACAAAGCGGGGGGGCGGGAAGCCGCAGCTGGACCCATGCCCTGGTGAGTGAAGGGGCAGGGGGAGCTCTAATTTTCCATGATAAAAAACCCAAAATCAAATGCCAAAATTTACAGGTATTAAGAATTTATTTTATAGTAACTGAGGTACTGGTAGGCATCCAAACTGCTTCAAATTGCAAATATATTAACGCATTGTGTTCAACTGATACATGTGTGCGTGTATATTTTATATAAAGAGAGAGAGAGAGAGGTGTTTAATTTTAATCACAGAAAAATGCAGATCTTGGGGCTTTTCATCAGAGAATTTGTGATTTTTGAACAGAGAGAACCAGGATGCCTGCCAATAACTAAATTTTATTTTGATTGTTTGCTCCTTTCAATTAATGCATTCTTTTCCATTCCTGATGTATTTAAGGCTCTGAGTTCCACAAAACAAAGAATCATATTCTTAATGTTACCCCAGCAGTGCTACTCAAGATTACTGGACTGTGACCCAAATAAAGAGTAAAAGATGCTACACCAAAGAATTAAAGAAAATGTTCTTTATGGCTTCAAGGACTTGGAAACTTCTTTTCTTTTTTGTTGCTCCTAAAAAAGACACTCTTTTTAAACATGTAATGAACTCTCTGGTTTTCACTGTAGAAAACTATTTTGGTGACGGAAAAACAAAAAGCTTGTTATTAATATTGTTAAAACAGTTACCTTTTAGTTTCTCCCACCCTGCAAAATTTTCTGCTAATAGGTACTGGACCATAATTTTACTACTATTCAAAGCATCTATAAATATCTACTGCAACACTTTGTTCAGCTTTGTTATTGCCATTGATGAAACCTAACCTGTCTAAAGAAAGTAATCCTTTGATGGAGTTTTGCAACCATCTGAATTCTCTAAGAAAATAACATTTTTATTGTTTTGCTATAGATTTAGATGAGTGGATCATTTTAAAGGCATAACTGGCAATTTGTTTAATTCATTCTCACAAAGGCTCTTACATTTCCTCAGCTAAGATTTCAATACAATGGATGGCAAAGTGGCCCTTGGAAAAAAATCCTTTATCCAACTTCAATAAAAAGGGCAATTGTAATTAGATGCTATAGGAGGCAGAACATTGTCCCCACCACTCCATCATGTCTGCATATCTTGCTCCCTGATATATGTGTTTAAGAAACAAAAGCAGAAAATAAGGAGATACTGAGAAATGCTAAGGCTAAAAAGATGACCTATGAGTCACCCCACCTCCTCTTACCAAGATCCATGCTTTTTGAGGCTTTCAGATTAATTGATTCAGGCTGCTTGGCTGGTGTCAGAGATCTGAAGTTGATGTGCTGATCTGTTAAATATGCTGCTGAATCCACTACAGAGCTGTAGAAAGAAGCCATGCAAAATATTTAGGCACTGATACAAAACCAAGTGTAATAATTAAAACTTTCACAATATAAATGTATTTTCCCCTCCAGTTGTTTGCAGTCATGCATCTTAAATTAATCTTTGATTCTCAAGATTCTTTTGTGAGATTTAGCACTTCAACTCACATGTATTCATTTTATACCTATATTACCCTCCCCCCCGATTGTTAACAATGATAACTTCTATTTATACAAATTATTTAAATCTGATTTTATTTAACAGAAGGGGGAACTATCCAAGAACCAATGGTGCTGTTTTTTTTCAAAGTGAATGATGCAAGCACTACTGTCCACCATTGTTGCAGAGAAGGTTCTTAAGTAGAACTATATAAGAGGACATTTCATTCACTTATACTAGTTTGTTTGCATGGTTTCCTTGGATAGTTTTGAAAAAAGGGAACATCACTTTAAAGAGATAAAACAAACTCTAATAACATTTGATTAAATTAAGTAAAGCAGAAGGAAAAAAATTAGAAGATTCTATGTGTGCATGATGAATATAAGATTGCAGAAAAAAACGTGATACCATATTATTTGATCTTTTGATATTCTATTTTCAGAATGAGAATATTGCACATTGAAACAAATGTTGTGCTGACTTATGCCTTATGCTTTCCCAATGAAGTCAGTGGTATAGCACAGTTTTTAACCAGCTATATTTTTTGTTTTATTTTATTTCAGTCACAAGTTTGCAGTACTAATGCCAAGCTTCTCACATTTATTCAGCAAATAATAGCTTTCAAGTTCCATCAGCATATTTTGCAATGACCAAGATAGTTTTCAAAATATCTCAAAGGCTTTGCTTCATGAATTAACTACTTACAAAAATCACCTTTAAAATTTTGTTTTGTATTTGAATTGCACAGAGGTCTTCTTTGCTACACCTTTTTGCCTCAAAGTGATACACAGCACATTTCAGGTATTCTCATGAAAAATAATCTCCCATTTTAAGGCTGACAATCAATAAACAGTTTGTAACACTTTGAATCAGACAAGCAGTTATTAGGATTTAAGACCTAATGCATCACACGTAAAACTCACTAGTATGCAACTTTTCAACCAGTCTAATTTTATTAGATTATTATTTAAATTCTGTACTACTTTACAAGCCAAGCAATGTGCAAATTACTGCAGCCCAGGCTTCACCAGCAGTAAGTGCACTACACTTTGAGAACTACTGAAGTAGACAAAATATTAAACTTTAAAATAACCTGCTATGGTTAATATTAAAGAAATATTAACTTGACCATAACTACTGCAGCACAAATTCTATATCCATTTGCATACATAACAACAGCATTTTTAATCAATTAGAGCTGTCATCAAAATCATAAGTGGTCAGGTCTAGGCATACATAATAAAATAACTATATATCCAAACCTATGGTTATAATCTTCAGTAAGTAGTTCCTCAGTAGGGTGTGGTGGCAGAGGAGGTGGAACTTCATTCTCAGCATTGCCGTGATCAGACATAGGGAGATCTGAAACTAACAATGGGTTAAACAAACTGTAGTAGCAAGTATATTCCACCAGTTCACTGATCAATAAACTGGACTGGAAGGCCTGAAGCAATCCTGAACTGAGTCACAAATTATTCAAATCCCTAAACTAACTAAACTAGAATTAAAATCACACCAAGCAGAAAATATACCCCTTGGGATTTCTTGAAGAGCTGATTTGCAGATTTGCACATGCATAATTAAAGATAAATACAGTGAAACTTTGCTTATAGTGTTGTGAAAGTCCCCAACTGCTTTAATGTATTTGAATGGATTTTCACTCCCTTCCATATAGAATTAACTTAACTACCAGTAGGTTAAACTAGTTTAATTCTTGTCCTGTGAAGCATGTATCACCTTCCAGATATATCTGATGAGTGTTGCATTCCTATGACTATTTTCTCCCTGTCTTTCTCCCTCCTGCAAAAAGCTAATTCTTCTGTAACCCCAGTAAAGCAAATCATCCTATATAGAAATAAATTTGACCCCAAATGAAGGTAAAGGTAGTCATACTACTTCATGGTAGTGCCATAATCTGCAGGGCAACTGAAAATACATTTTTCTGAAAACAAAAATTTCACTTTCATGAAAACAAATCAAAACAATGTTCTCTTCATTCAAGAGAAACATACAGAACAACATAATCATCCTCAGCAAGGAGCTGGAGCCAGAAGTTATTCTAAAGTCACAACTGTTTTTCTTTTTTTCTTTTCACCTTTAACTTAACCATCCCCTCTTTGACACATGATGCTTTCTCCTACTTGCTGGCAACTTTCTTTATTGGAAACCCTAGATCTCAGTTTTCCTCCTGCCTTCTACCATTCACACTTTTACCATAACTCATATTATGCAATCTCATTCTCTTCTCCCCCTGTATGCCACTGTCTCTCTTTTTTTCATTAGCAAGGCTCTCTGGGTGTCTTTACATGGGCTCTGGGGGGCAAGAAGCGTCCAAACGCCGCTCTAATTAAAGTGCCCAGGTCTTGTATATTCAGCATCCCAAGGTTCAAAATGGTGGCAGGGGTGCTTTAAATAAAGCTCATTGAACGAGCTTTAGTTAAAGTGACCCCGCCGTAATTTTGAAGTGTGGGGATGCTGAACACATGAGATGCAGAGGCTGCTGGAGTACACCAAGTTACACACTCCAGCAGACTCGATTAATCAAGTCTGATCCAACGTGCTATAATTACAGCGCGTTGGAGCAGCATCCCCGTACATCTCCAGGCACCCTCTGGTTACATCTACAGCACCACTTACACCTTATTACTCTTTTCACAAGTCATCTTCTCATCTCCATATCAGTGTCTTTTCCTTCTCCTCCTCACTTGTGGCCTACAGATCTCAAAGACACTTAAGACATTTATAAAGCCCCTCTCAGGAGAAAAAATAAAGTCAAACTGTCCAGAGTTATTCAAGGAAACAGGCTGAAAAGGCAAGAGTATGAAGAGAGAGTCTACATGAGTTGGAACCCTTAGACTGATAGCAAGAGTATGGTAAACTCTAAAGCAAACAGACTCATCTACACACTGGTTTACTCCTTTAAAATCTTAATTCTCTTAAATGCTTTAGTTCTAAATAAGTCAACTTTGGGGTTAAAAAGGCTGTCTAGTGACTGCTGTACCAGAAGGGACTTTCAGTATTGCAGACAATTAAAATGGGACTTAGTGAAGTGGGGCCAAGTATGAGACGGAAGAATTACCTGACTCCACCCCAACAGAGAGGTCACAGATGAAGGGCCAAGGAGGAGGCTAACAGGGGCAAAAGGTACAATTATCCCAGTAACTGGGACAGTTAGGCTTTCAGATTTTAATCTGTTTAGAGCAAGAAATGCTTCTTTGTTCTTAAAGCATATGCCAACTTGTGACAGCATGCAACATTTTAAAAATAAGGAATCAGTAAGTTTCCAATCAATTAATCTTTCCATGAATGTAGAATGTTACGCTTGTAAATGTAGATACTTGTATAGTCCCTGAAGATTCAGCTTGCCAAGCTATTGAAGATATCTTTTATCATAACTCCACCTCTTTACCAGAGAGATTATATCAATCCCCTTGCAACCCTGACACTTTTTTGAAAATAAAGGAACTTCTGATGAAGCAGATTCCAGTAACCATTCAGCACCAGAAATTTGAAGCTGTTGGCACTGAAGTACTATTTCTCGAATAGGTTGTTCTAAAAATGCAGTTTCTGTGCAACAGCTTGGCAGGAAAAAAAGTGAGGACCTGTAGGTTACAAGTATCAGTCATGAAAAAATAGGCTGAACATTGGCATTTCAATACTGGGTTTTAAAAAAGGCTCCCTTTAAAAAAAAAAAAGGCTGCCTTTATTGAAATATCCACAGGCAAGACAAAATATTATGCTTTGGCTACAACAGCTTTTCTCCAGACATTATATTTTGTCTTGTTCAAGTATAATAAAAGAGAATCTTAAAAAAAAAAAAAAAAAAAGCTGGCATTTGTTGAGCTTTTAGAAGATTAAGTATAGAGCAATGACTAGCAATGGAACCAAAAATGTGACATTTTATTAAACATAATTAAACTCCTGGCATTAAATGTTTGTATTTGTTATAGTACAGTAATAACAGATAATAATAATGCATTATTACTGTTATTGATGTAGTCATTGTTATTATTCCTACTATTATTCCTTCTACTATATCTAAAGGACTGAGATCCCAAGTCACTGTACAAATATGCAGCAAAAGCCTGACCCCAGTTCTAGATTTTGTTCAGTTTAGGCAGACACAGGAAACAATTTCAAGTTTATAACTGGGCCGCCCTGTGGGGGTCCAGGGTCCCACCAATGCAGATGTCACTGAAGGATTAGAATTATCACAAGTATTTGTAACAAATGATCAGAAGGTGAAAAGACAGGCAACACTATTAGAGACATGTCTTTACATAAAGTATAGGCAGACAAGGTTCTTCGGGTCAATGTAAAATAGTTGGAAAAATTGTCCTTTGCAAACTTTTGGGTATAAACACCCTTCTTCAGGCACAGGGAGAGTTTGTTGCTGCTCTGTTTCCATTCCACCCAGGAGAGCACACAAAGCAATAACAAATACTCCCTGTGCCTAAAGGGTGTTTGTACGCAAAAGCTTACAAAGAACAATTTTTCCAACTATTTAGTTGGTTTAATAAAAAATATCACATTTACCCAACTAATTTAGTTTGCCTATGTCCTTAGACCAACATGGCTAAACCAACAACAACCCTAATACATAAACTGTTGATAGTTCTGTTGTAAAACTCAAATGATAAATACAACTCTTTTACAACACTATTTTAGGCCAAATTTTCTTTTAAGATCTGCATAGATCAATGACTTTCAACCAGGGTGTTGTGAGATCCTTTTAAGGGTGCCACATGGTGCCACTCAATATTAGCACTGTCAGATGTGCAAATACCTATGCACCAGTCACACAATAAACCCAGGAATTTTAAACAGGAATCCAGAGTGCCAAAGACAGTGTGACCATTTGTAGTTTTTCTGAGTTCTCTGCAACAAAAGAATTGCTCTATTACTTTTCTGTGATCAAAAATGAGCGAAAGCTAAGAGTTAGCCCTTATTGAGGGATGTCTTGAGTGTAAAAAGGTTTAGAATCACTTGCATAGAGTTCTGAAACCCAGAGTCCCATCCCATGCATTTACTGTCTTAAGCAGGTATTTGTTTGTCTTCTCATCTCCCATTTTACCATACAATTAAGTTGTTAAAATGTGGAAATCATAGTACACAGGAAATTATCTTCGTTTTTCAGTAATATTTAGAGATCTTGCTCCCCTCTTGGCTCCAAACTCCCCATCCATTCTCAGGCTATGGTCTTTTGTCTAAACACCAGGAACAGCTCTTTGTCTCTCATGTCCCATGATACTGGTATCTTTTCAACATCTTATATGGATTGTCCTCCCCAAGCCATTGCTTTCGTCTTTCTCCTCCTCTGTTTTCCAGATTTTTTAACTCAAAAATGTAGAAAAGAGCAAAACATGTAGAACATGACTGCTGCTATGATCCCTCAGAGAGTACTGATCTTTTTTGGTCACTTTTTTTCTAGGCGGGAGGGGTAGAGATGTCTCCTGGGCAGCTAATAACTGTTAAGCAAAAGCATTTCCTCCTCCCTTCAGTTGTGCCATCTTACACAATGGCTATCTCTACAGGGTAGGCCAGCAATGGTGACAGTTCTTTTTCTTACAGAACTCTTGAAGGGAGTTCCACACATGTAAGGGAAGAGAACAGCAAAGTTGGGATCTGACTTGCTCATGTGAGGAAAGTCTAACTATTAAACTTTAAATTAATTTAACATGCTTAAAACTAAACCTGCAGTTTTTACTCAAGCAAAATTGCCACTGAAATCAATACAAATCCTTGAATATAATAGAAAGCTCTGCTCAAGTTTTACAGGCATGGACCCTGAGTTCAAAGGAACATATTGCCCTCAATTACGAGCATCCCATACATTGTTCATAGCAGTCTAGAAGATTATTCTTTCTAGTCTATTATTCTATAATACATGTTTACCTAGATAGTTGGATAAAATCATGCAAATTCAGACTACGGTACCATCATTCATCTGCATAAAAACTTAAGTTTTCCTGATTCAGAGAGGTACTTCAGCAATTTAAGAACATGAACAGTCCCATTAAATGGATGAGATAACCAATGGGATGAATTCAAAAGCTTGCATAAGCACCTTGCTGACTCAGAGTCCTGTGTGGTAGGTAATGGGATTCTTCCACAAGCAAAGTGAGAGGGTAAGGGAGAAGAGCAAAATTTAATGTTGATATTTTAGCTGAATATTTACACACTAGTTTCTGAATGGCAACAGCCTACATTCCCAACTTTCAAGCCTTTGTCATAACTATGTTGTAAATTTATAGTCTGTTTCTGCCATTTAAAAATATTTAAGTCTTAAACTAAACTAGTAATTCTTGTAAACTATTACATTACAACATAAATTATATTTGATTATAAGCTGGGACACAAAATCTAAACCATTTGATTTTTTTAAATCATTGATACTCATTAAAGACCTATAGAAAATAAACATTTTGACTATATATTTTGCACTTATTATTTGTTTTTTATCCAACCTTACGTGTTGGGGCAGCGAGTTAAAAACTGTTACTTAAACTGGAATTTGTGCCAGGAATCTAATTCACAACTTCTGAGTCAGCTCTCCCACCCTCTCTGGATCCTCATGCTTCAAAGTAACAGTCTGCACTTACTCTAATTAACTGTTTTTCTAGTTGACGAGGGTTTATGAAAACAAAAAAGCACTTTTTTGGCATGAAGAAGGATGTACAGTACATACCTTTTAGTCTTTCCTGGGGACTGCAAGTTACAAATTGCTGCTGGACAGTATCATTGAGCCTGGAGATAGCTGTAAAATTATGACTGCCCTCAAAAGCTGGTTTTTGAAAAACTCCATGGTCTGAACGCTCCTAAGAAGAAACAGAACCACATATTTTAGTATAAAAAAATACAGTGTGAAAAAGTCATCACTAAATCATGCTGTATTTGTGCATTATTTCTAAGGTTTTTGTTGCACATTATTAACTCTCAAAGCCAAAACATGAAAGATGCCTTCAGAATGATCATCAATTACTGCTGACCATGAAACAGGAGATTGCTACTACTGCACAAATAATAATCAAGGCTGATTAGCAGAAAAGAGGACTTTCTTTTCTGACCCACAACTGGCTTCACTTAATTCCTCCATCTGGGAGGGCAGCTTGTGGCATTGTCAACACAAGAACGCAGGCAATGCCAATGGTATTTCTTTGCCAGCCAGCTGGTTCCCTTCTTTCAGAGACTGAGCACATATGCTCCAACAGTCACACTCTGGAGCAGCTTTGTAACTAAGGTTTTATAATTCCTAAGCCCAGGACTTCTGGCTAGCAACTAAGAAAAATTCTGCCACACCTCCAGTCTGTCTTAATTTTCATAACCTCTGACCCTCCAGCGACTCCAGCATTCATATGGCAGCTCCTAAATTATTCTCTGGAGCAACTGCTTGAAAGAAAAAGAATCACTATTTCTCAACCTGAGGAATCCCCCCTGAGCATTTTTATATAGCTAACATAAAGGGAAAATCTATAGTAAGTAAAGTACAGTATTTTGCCTAATTGCTATTTGGTAGAATTATATTTTGATAATTGGTTCTTTGTGATTCCCTATCAGATTTTTAGAGGTCAAGGTACAACATCATTCTGTGTCATAGGGTGTGGTGGTATTTTTGGAAGATACTTGGAAGATACTACAGCAACGGATTTTTGAATGCTGTGCTTGATACTGAAAGAAATGTCAGTAACATGCCCAGGTTTAAATAACATTCCTGGTTCGGGAGCATAATGCTTGCATAACTCTTAGAGTCTTATAAGGCAAAAGTTTCCAAGCAAGATACAGTAGTAGCCAAGAGCCATCTCAATTCAGTTTTGATCAATTTTGAGAGCTTAATTGTGACAACACAGAGGCAAATATAAATCAAGTCTCATAAGCTCCTTTCTTCTTTCAACAGCCATTAGACAAATAACACATTTGATTAATGTTTTCCTCTCCTCATTATATTCAGAGCCAGTTAAATAGAATATTCACATGGTTAACCATCGTGTGTGCCTTCTCTGTAACAGAAATCTAAGTTACACGGTGAAGATTTAACACTTATTGCTTATTCCTCGGGAACCAAATGTGTTATCTTCTGTAAGTATGTTACTGGTTAAATTAAGCCCAGCATTGAGACAGACTAGTACTAAATTAAAGAATGATACCCAGTAGGTAAGGCAGACTTAAATTAACAACAACAACAGAGAAAAGAATCTGCTTTTCCAGCTATTTGATAAATGACACAATCGATATCCCAACAACTGATCAGTAACCGGCCTAATTAGAGTATTCAGCTTGTAAAACAGAGCTGTCATGGAAGGCCTCCATTAGTGTCCTCGCCAATAAAAAAATAATGGATTTTTAAACATATTCTGCTTCTACCAAGTGGGATGCAGCAGGCAGGAAGCATTTGGGGGAAAGGAAAGAATGGGCCATAGCCCATTTTCCTGTAGTCTCCAGCCTCAAATGGAATTACAATTGAACCTTGAGCACATCCTATAAAAATTAATTTCTGTTTAAAATGAATTTGATTCAATCAAGAGCTCATTATGTATTCTTCACAGGGCACGAGTCAGAATTGTTTACATGTTTCATACATCTGAGTAATACATAAAACTATATACTTGGTTATGAAAAGCAGCTTCTTGTATTTTTATTATATCAATCTGAGATTAAATTGTAGGTTTTTTGCCAAATTTTACTTTTTAAATAAAAAAACTAGCAGTGGTGAGACTTCTTTCCAGCTTTCATTTTAAATGGGTTATAATTTATACCTCATTAGATAACCATGTTATTTTTACATTAGGTACAGAATACTAAAGGTAACGGCAGCTGTCTCAATTTGCTTCTTAAAATGTTAAGAATATCAGTTATACTATAACAAAGAACTTCTCTGCTGGTGGCGCCATTACAGTCTTAAAACTACAATGGGCCATTAAAGAGTCTCTGTCTTCTTGGAGAAAATTGCACTTGCTTTCCTTTTCCCTATCTGACAGGCTATCTGCAGAAGACAACCATTTTGAGAAAACTTCCCAGTACAGTTAAAGTATAAAATTGAGTAAGTATTTCTTCTAAACATACTTTTCAATTGATGCAGGATAGCGGTAAATTGAGTTCAAATATAATTAACAAATTGAAATCTACTATAAAGAACTAACTATTCACATTATAAGAAACTGCACTTTCTCTCTTATACCTTACGTGCACAAGCAGATGCAGACAATAGTCTCAATACATTAAATGTTTAAGCAAAACTTTATCTTAATAGGCAATTACATGAAAAACAGAATTCCCTTTGAGTCCTATAATATGATTTAATACAGGCTCAGCTTTGGTTTTTCATTTTAGTTCTTAACCATGCAGTTTTATCTATTTCTTATGAACAATCATATATATTGCAAATCCCATATTATAGTTATTAAAAAATGAAACTCAAAATGTGTTTAGACTAGCACCACTGGAAGCCTGAAGTAGACAACATATTTCAACACATGAATAGTGAAGTTATACACATACTGGCAACAACTCTACAAAAGACATGGGAGGAATATAAGTTTATCCGAGTAAGGCCTAGTGCATAGACATTTCAAACATCCTTCTACTGCAAACTCTTAGTATTTTGCTTAACTTTTATATTTATTGAACTAAAACAGGCTCTGTCACCAATGGGAGACCCTTTTTTGTGATCAAGCCAAATAAATTCATTTTTGCTTCCCAAAAGCTTTGCTAGTTAAAAGCAACAAAAAATGTAGGAAATTCTAAGAACATTCAAATATGAAAAAATGAGGCAAGTGATAGACAATACTGATAATTATTGAGGCTGCCAAAATTTTGTAGGAATTTTGAGTAACCTGAGTCATCTTCACTGCATCGAGTTAACCCATCGAGCAGGGCTTAGTGAAAACTGCATTTGTGAAGGCACCTCTATCTAATCCCATATTTCTAAAGCCCATCTATTGCTGTTATAAAAGAAGATATGTAAAACTGACTGATACATTAAACTGACCTAACGTCAAATTCCTACCCTTTGAATTCAGATGAGGCCATATTACTGGAGGGAAGAAGCTGTGATTGTGTGATTTATTCAGATCTCTTTGGAGATGACCAACAGTTGAACAAACTGGAACAACGAATCTAGAGATACAGGTAAATATTAAAGAAGGTGTGTTCATTTTGGGCTACCACCTCACCAAGGAAGGCTGATGGTGCTTATGTTTTCCTAAGGCCAGTCAAAAGAAGGAAAGACTAAGGTACCATGGTTGTTCCAGCCTAATCAACCGATTCACAGAAAGTCCGGTTGCATGAGACATTAATCAGAGATTACAACATTTGTCCCCTTGCAAACTGCAGTCCTGGGTCTGATGCTCCAAAGACCACACAAGCTAAAGCTTAACTTTTTTCTTCTTTCTACATATTGTTATATCAGAGATGCCTGCCTACTTATTTTTCTACTAGCAAACTGCCCATCAAGAATGACTGGAGGGGGGTGGGGGGGGACGGAGCACTGTCACTCACCACCCCGTGCTGCCACTGTTTCCCGGGAGCAGGGGGGGAAGCTTGCACGTGGCTGCCACCATTGCCAGCTACCACCCTATGTTGCCGCCACACCCCGTCCAGCCACGTGCCATCTGACCCTTCTGTGTCTGGCCCCATGTCACTCTGCCTCGTGTCTGGTCCCGCACCACCTTCTGGCCCCCATTCTGCATCCAGCCCTGTAATACCCTCCCCCCCTGCACTGTGTCTGGCCCCATACCACCCCTGTCCCACCCTGCTCTGCATCCGTCTGGCCCACTCTGCCAGAGCCCTTCTTGACAGGCATTCTAAATGCAGCAGTGGCTGGAGCCACACCCCCCAAGAGCATTATGGACAGACGCACAGACAGATGGACTAAGCCCTTTATATATATAGAATATTACTTTTTAAAGGTGTGAAAGAGTATGTGTGTGTGGTTAAGGGACAGTGCATGCATATTCAAATTCATAGCAAATATTGCCTTAAACTACTCTATTTTATCCAAGTTCATAAAAATATGTTTGCATAAAACTAATATGACAGAAACAATTTTGTATTGGAGTACATATGCAAAATAAGTGTTAACGGTGTAAGTCACTCAAACAGTAAACTTGAAGGCTCTACCTGCCACGTGAAAAAGCTGGAAGGCAGGATATTAGGGCTGTGTGAAGCTTTGGTTGCTGATTCAATTTGGTGGAGATTCGGCCTGATTCGGCAGCCGAATCTCCGAATCCAGATCAAACTGGGAGCCAATTAAAAGGTCTGAATTGATTTGAAGCCTTTGAACCATGGGGGGACCCCCAGCAGGCCCCATCCCCTGCCTGCTCCCTCAGATCCCCAAAGCGCCCCCTGACACTCGCCCATTCTCCCAGCCCTGTCAATGGCTGCCCCGCCCAGCCCTGGTTTCCAGCACTTAAAAAAAAAAAAAAGCCCCCCCAAAAAAGCCCTGCACTCACCAGCTGCTGCAGTGGCCATCAGGGCCTCCATGGGCTCATGGCAGAGTCCCACCATTGAGCGTGGGGCAGTGGGGGGCAGCGGGGATCGCCCCCCCCCCCCCCCCCCCCCACGCGCGGCCAGGGCGGGGGGGAGGGGG